TCAAGGTGTTTGATGTATGTTTCTACTCCATAAGAGGTTTAATAATTGATTTATTTCTTCATTGACATTATTTGAGAGCCTAATCAATACAAGACTTTAGATTCCATGGATACAGTGGTTACCAGTGGTGTCGTTTGGGATTTCAACCTCTAGAAATTCTGTTTTTAATGGATAGAATATTAAAGCAGCAGCACTTCCTGTATTGATCTGATGCCCATGATCCCTTTGGCTCCCTACACTAACCCTGTCTTTGAAAACCAGGGGTGAGGAATAGCATGCCTGGCCCAGCTCCCCATTTGTTTCCTGGGAGATCAGTGTTAGTGATAATGGGGGTTGTCCTTTATCTTGCTCCCCTTCTCAGTGACAATATGCCCCTCTTCCTGTGCTTGCTGCCTTTCCAAAGCAGATATCCGACCTGAGGGTTAGAGTGAGTAATGGGGAGAAAGGGACACCTGTCCACTGGAGTTGGAAAAGAAAGAACCACTTGGAGGCCCTCCAAACTCTTCATCTTTGAAGGCAGGAGAGGAAGCTTCTTCCTTCTTTTATTCTTAGTCCTTGTTATTTTTCACAGTTTTGGAAATTGATGTGAGTTTTCCTAGGTAGAGACTCCACCTCATGATTCCTTTCTGATATATTAACCAAGTAATTGTTCTGCATTAGCTGCCTATAGAGTCATTCTAGTTGAATTTCAATTAATATTTGATTGGATGGATTGATGGATAGAATGTTATTGAAGAAACTACCTTTGACTGTTAGCTATAATCAGACCTTGTACCTTGAGTCAAGTTCTTAATTTGTCAGTCTTGCAGATGAGGGGTGCCTTCCCTGAAGCAATGAGGTTATAGGAACTGTTTTTTGCATTCAGTGCTGAGCAGAGGACCTGAATTTTCAGTATTTTCCTTTGGTGGACTGGATGATTGAGAGTTAACCAGGGCAATTTCCTGTTGGAGGTACTATCACAGTATATGTATTATCTATATTTGTGTTTCTTACAACCAAACAAAAGCAGTAGTTTTGCATGCGGAGGAACTGGAAGAAAGGCCATAGATCCAAAGCTGATCTTTGTTTTAAACAGGCTGGCTATTCTACCCCCATGACTCATTCTTTGTGAAAGAATATGCTGTTTGGCCTTTTCAGGGAACCACAGTGCATCCTATGATTTTGCATCTCAATGAGGGTTTATTCATTAGTTGAACAAAGGCTTTTTCTAGAAATGAGATTATATTGTCAGTAATTCTAGAGAGAAAATTTCATTGTCCATTTTTTATAGTTATGTGGTGACTAGGGAAAATGGGCTCTTTTAGAAGTTTTGGGGAAGTATATGAGAAATATTTTGTACTTGACCTTTTTTTCTATTAAGAGAGTTTTGTGCTGACAGAACTTGAAACATATAATAAATACTGTTTTGTTGCTTTGGGAATTTAATTTTACCCTGCATATCAGGCTTTCAAAAGGAATTGTAATATACAAAATATAACTTACAAGGAAATAAAATTCTAATTCCGTTTAAACACTAATCTTGATGTTCATTTTTAAATTAGAGTGTGCTTAATAAATGGTTTTTCTTCCTCTATATGTTAATAACCATAGTTTTGGTGTTTTAATTGTTTAATAGTTTTAATAGCCAGAGTGTTAACAATAGAATTTTATTAACTAAAAGAGTTTATAATGTTTTTTAAGAGGTTTTAAAATCATAAAGCAATTTTAATTTCTCCCATTTGTCATTGAGATCACTTTGTGTAGTTTTGAAAGCTCTTAGGATCATTTTTCTGGCCTCTGTTACTGTGGCAAAGTGAAAAGTGCCTTGTATTAAGTAGGCAGGTGAGCTGAGAGTGGATCCAGAGGTAGATGTAGGTCCCAGGGGCAAAAGGGATTGCGTCCGGTTCTAGGTCAGGACTTCTGAGTGAGAATAGTTATAATTACCAGCTTTTCTCCAGACTAATAACAGCTGCTGGAGTGGAGCTAGAGAGCTGAATTTAAACAAGATTTAGTTGAGTGTGAGGGGATGGGTTAGAGGACAGAGGATTTGATGATGAATGCAGTAATTAATAATGGTAGTCAACTATGGAATTTAGAGAAGAAAGACTATCCAATGAGAAACAATGGTAGCAGTGGTAGATTGAAGGCTTTTACTGAAACGATAGTGGTGAACTCTATTGCTGAAAGCTGAAGTTTTGAAAGGACTTACTTGATCAGCAATATTTTAAAAAAAATAGGGCAGAAATGAACAGCCAAAGCAGTGACTTCCAGAATGCTTCTATTCTCTGAGTATTTGCTCATGATTAGATTCAGTTGACATTTTTGGTAGGAATAGTGCATAGATGAAGCAGGATATTTCTTACTGTGTCACTCCAGGAAGCATATAATAGCAGATTGTCATATTGGTAATGCTAAATTTAATCACTTCGTATATTAGTAGTTATCACTGTATCTCATTGTTCTGAAGGGACCTCCCCTCTTCCCCCCCTCCCCCATCCCTGCAATCCTGAGACTTGAAATCTGGGCCTGGGCACTGTTCCTGAGCTTCTTTTGGTCAAGGCTACCACTCTACCACTTGAACCACAGCACCACTCTGGCTTTTTCTCTTTATGTGGTACTGAGAAATCGAACCCAGGGCTTCATGCAGGCTAGACAAGCATTCTACCACTAAGCCATATTCCCAGCCGGGGGGACCTTCCCTTTTTAATAGTAGTTAATCTGTGAGGTGATGCTTTACCCCATAGTTGTCTGCCTTCATAACGTTGACTTTATGCTTTTAGCACCCATTGATGAACTTTGCCAAATCAATGTATACATATGGGGTTGCATAATGCCATATACATATGGCATTCTTTTCACATTTATTGATGAACTTTATAGTTGATACAATTAGTGACTTCTTATAAAAGTAAATTTAAAGTTTAAATCAGCTTGGCACTAGTGGCTCAGAAGGCTGAGATATGAGGATCGAGGTTTGAAGCCAGCTCAGGCAGAAAAGTTCCCATGAATCTCTTATCTCCAGTTAACCACCAGAAAACTGGAAGTGGATCTGCGGCTCAAAGTGGTAGAGCCTTGAGCAAAAGAGCTGAGGAACAATGCCCAGGTCCCGAGTTCAAGCCCAACAACTGACAAGAGAAACAAAAAGTTTACATCAGAACTGCTATGCCAATGTATGGTAGCTTGCCTATCACCCTGCTCTCTTATCTGATAGTTCAAATTTCCTTCCTTCCTTCCTTCCTTCCTTCCTTCCTTCCTTCCTTCCTTCCTTCCTTCCTTCCTTCCTTCCTTCCT